TGCCAGCACCAGGATGGGCTGGGCAGTGCCAGGACAGGCTGGGCAGTGCCAGATCCGACTGGGCAGTGCCAGGACGGGCTGAGCAGTGCCAGACCCAGCTGGGCAGTGCCAGACCTGGCTGGGCAGTGCCAGATCCGGCTGGGCAGTGCCAGGACAGGCTGGGCAGTGCCAGATCCAACTGGGCAGTGCCAGACCCAGCTGGGCAGTGCCAGACCCAGCTGGGCAGTGCCAGATCCAACTGGGGAGTGCCAGGCCCGGCTGGGCAGTGCCAGACGTGGCTGAGCAGTGCCAGATCCGGCTGGGCAGTGCCAGATCCGGCTGGGCAGTGACAGACCCAGCTGGGCAGTGCCAGACCCAGCTGGGCAGTGCCAGACCTGACTGGGCAGTGCCAGGAATGGCTGGGCAGTGCCAGATCCAATTGGGGAGTGCCAGACCCGGCTGGGCAGTGCCAGACCCAGCTGGGCAGTGCCAGACCTGGCTGGGCAGTGCCAGGACAGGCTGAGCAGTGCCAGACCCAGCTGGGCAGTGCCAGACCCAGCTGGGCAGTGCCAGACCCGGCTGGGCAGTGCCAGGACAGGCTGAGCAGTGCCAGACCCAACTGGGCAGTGCCAAACCTGACTGAGCAGTGCCAGACTCAGCTGGGCAGTGCCAGACCCAACTGGGCAGTGCCAGACCTGGCTGGGCAGTGCCAGGAATGGCTGGGCAGTGCCAGATCCAACTGGGCAGTGCCAGACCCAGCCGGGCAGTGCCAGATCCGGCTGGGCAGTGCCAGGCCCAGCTGGGCAGTGCCAGGACAGGCTGGGCAGTGCCAGACCCAGCTGGGCAGTGCCAGGCCCAGCTGGGCAGTGCCAGACCCAGCTGGGCAGTGCCAGGACAGGCTGGGCAGTGCCAGGACAGGCTGAGCAGTGCCAGACCCAGCTGGGCAGTGCCAGGCCCAGCTGGGCAGTGCCAGACCCAGCCGGGCAGTGCCAGACCCAGCCGGGCAGTGCCAGGCCCAGCTGGGAGCGCTGTGGCAGAGGTTTGGGGTGCTCAGGGCCGGGTGCAGAAGGCACAGACTGGTTCCCGTGTGTCGCTTTCCAGGCTGGAGTGGCGCGAGGGACGCGGAATTTTGCACAGCTCAGAGCCCGGGGCCAAATTAGCGGCGTTGGGATTGTGCAAGACCCCCCAGGAGCCCTGGAATGGGGCAGTGGGTAAATAATTGCAGCAAAAATATCATTGCACTGGCACAACGGGGTCTCGGCTGGAGCCCCCACCCCACAAACTGGGTCCTGCGGTTCCCTCCCCACGCAGGGGGACACGAGGGTCACCAGCAGCGCCACTCCTCATCTGTGGAGCCACTCGCTGGCGGCAGGAGGAACTTTTAAGAGCTGGGGTAGAAATTAAGGTGGAAGTGGTTGGTTTGGGGTGTTTAACCAGCTCCCCTCGGCCGGATCCCATGGGATCGGGGCGCGGGAGGAGATAAGGCAGCCGGGGGTCCCGGGAGGGACAGCCCTAGCGAGTGCAGGGGGCTGTGGGGTGAGCACGAACCCCATTCCTTGGTCAGAGCATGGCTGGCACATTCCTGTGAACTCTGGGGCGCAGCTGCTGCAGGGCCGGAGCCCGTGGGGGCGCCGGGAGGGCTGTGGGTGCTGTGGGTGCGGTGCAGGGGGCTGTGCTCGGACTGAACGAGGATTTTGGGGTGATTGCAGGGGGATTTGGGGAGGTTGGGCTGTACCGGGGGGTGTGAGCAGGTGGGGACCTTCCTGAGGCCCTCACGGGCTGGCAGGGTGGATGTGGCAGTGGCAGAGGTGGCTCCGTGCTCGCGCGGCGCCCTGGCATCGGCGCCGACGGAGGGTGAGGAGGAGCAGGAGCTTCCTCCAGGGAGCTGGGACTGATTCCTGCCATGGGCAGCGGGCAGGACGGAGCTGTGCCATCCTGGCAGCTGGGCACACATTAGGGCTGAATCCTGCCACTGTCAGCAGGCAGGACGGTGCTGGGCCATCCCAGGATCTCTGCCATCCCAGGAGTTCTGCCATCCCAGGAACTGGGCACACACTTGGACTGATTCCTGCCACCATCAGCCGGCAGGATGGTGCTGGGCCATCCCAGGAGCTGTGCCATCTCAGGAGCTCTGCCATCCCAGGATCTCTGCCATCCCAGGAGCTCTGTCATCCCAGGAGCTCTGCCATCCCAGGACCTGGGCACACACTTGGACTGATTCCTGCCACCATCAGCCGGCAGGATGGTGCTGGGCCATCACAGGAGCTGTGCCATCCTTGTAACTCTGCCATCCCAGGAGCTGGGCACACACTGGGGCTGATTCCTGACACCATCAGCCGGCAGGACAGTGCCCAGGAGCTGGGCCATCCCAGGATCTCTGCCATCCCAGGATCTCTGCCATCCCTGGATCTCTGCCATCCCAAGAGCTGGGCCATCCCAGGATCTCTGCCATCCCAGGATCTCTGCCATCCCAGGAGCTGTGCCATCCCAGGAGCTGTGCCATCCCAAGAGCTGGGCCATCCCAAGAGCTGTGCCATCCCAGGATCTCTGCCATCCCTGGATCTCTGCCATCCCAGGAGCTGGGCCACCCCAGGAGCTGGGCCATCCTGGCAGCTGGACACACATTGGGACTGATTCCTGCCACCATCAGCGGGCAGGATGGTGCTGGGCCACCCCAGGAGCTGTGCCACCCCCAAGCAGGGCCAGGCCGTGTTGCCCAAGCCTGGCGCAGAGCACCCCTGGGCGCTGGGCACGGATGGCAGAGCATTCCCCGGAGCGCTGATCCCTGCCCTCCTCGGGGCGGTGCCGGGGCGGGGGAGCTGCGGGCACGTCACCATGGGCACGAGTGGCTTTGTCACCTCTGGGACACGACGGAGGGACGGGGGGACACGGCTGGGCGGCACGGCGGGGCCGAGCGCCTCGGGAGGGGACAGCGGCTCAGATCTCGGTGGCGATGATGTCCTCGTAGGGGACGTCGGCGCCGGGGATCTCCAGCTCGATGGGCTCCTTGCCGTCCTCGCCCGCCGCCAGCTGCTGCAGCATCTTCTCCAGGCTCTGGTTCCTCTTGTACATGTGCAGGTAGCTCTGCTGCAGCTGCTTCTGGTAGTGGATCACCTTCTCCTTCTCCTCCTTCCACGTCTGCCGCTCGTGCTGGAAGCTGCAGCTCATCTGCTCGTTGCTGTCGCGTTCGGCCTTCAGCTCGGCCCGCAGCCGCTCCAGCTGCCCCTGCAGGGCCTGGGCATCGTCCCCGCCCGGCCGCGGCGCCTCGCTGAGCTGCTCGCGGAGCACGGCCAGCTCGGAGCGCAGCTCCAGGATCTCCTGCTCCAGCAGGTTCACCTTCTCCCGCAGCAGCTCCGACTCGTTCTTCTTGCGCTGCAGCTCGTTCTCGCACACCTCCAGCTCCATGGCCTTGGTGCGCAGCGACACCTCCAGCTCCTGCGTCTTCATCTCCAGCCCCTCCATCTTCAGCCTCACCTCCTTCAGCTGCGCCTTCAGGCTCAGGATCTCCGTGGTCTTGGTGGTCAGCTCGGTCTGCGACTCCTTCAGCTGCTGCTTCAGCAGCGAGATCTCCCCGGATTTCTGGCACACCTGGCGGGGGTGAACACCTGGGTTAGGGCGGGGAAAGCCCAGGGCACCCCGTGGGAGCTGGGCACAGCTGGAGTGCAGCACGTGGAGACCCCGAATTTAACCTTTTTACCACTATTTTTTATAATTATACTTTAATTACAATTACTATTTATAATTAATATGGCATTAAATAATAGTACATATTATTATTCATTATTAATATTAATTTATAATTCATACACCTCTTACTGTTATAATTTCCAGCACATTAATGGTGTTTGCTGGGTAATACTAAACTTTGGAATTCCCAGCACATCGATGATGTTTTCTCGGCAATACCAAGGAGTGAGTAAATTAACCTTAAGCAGAGAGTGGAAGGTTTTAGAGCTCCCTAAAAAAATCCATGGCAAGCGCAAGGAATTCCTATTTCCTTGTGCCCAGGCAGCTTTACAGCTGGAGGCCGGGAATGCCGAGTTATTTCATTGCCCCAGGGGTTTGTGCTGTGCTGGCTCCCTCGGCGAGGGGAAGGTTCAGGGGGGCAGCGAGAGCCTCAGCCCCGCTGCCCCGGGGACAGCGCGGGGCTCTGCTGGCCGTTCCCATCCATTCCCCACGGCCTGGGATGCTCCAGGAACGGGATGGGAAGGGCCGGGGGGGTTCGGAGCTCTCCCCCTCCACGCCCCCCCTGCCCCCTTTTGCCCCTCACCTCCCACTGCGTCTCCTCCAGCGCCGGGGCGAAGCTGGTCTTCTCCTTCTCGTAGGACCTCAGCTTGGTCTCCAGCAGGTTCTGCTCCTTCATGAGCTTCTCCAGCTCCTCCCGCAGCTGCTGCTTCTCCTGCTGCAGCTGGAACACCTGCAGGTGCAGCACCTGCTGCGTCCGCTGCGTCTTCTGCGAGGTTTGCTTGAGCTTGCTGTTGCATTTCTGCTTCAGCCCCTCCAGCTCCTCCTTGCAGCGCCGCTGCTTCTCCTCGTAGGCCTGGCAGGAGCTGATTTCCTTCTCCTCGAAGCTCGACTGCAGCTCCTGCAGCTCGCCCTCCCTTTCCAGCAGCTTCTGCTCCAGCTCCTGGATGGTGGATTCATCCGTGGCGATGGGCGAGCGCAGGCAGGCGCTTTTCTCGGCGGCGGGGCGGTGCTGGGGGGCCTTGCCGGGGTTCAGGATCTTGTTGCCGCCGTCGGAGAAGGACATGGCCTTGAGGCTCATCATGTTGCTGTCCTGGATGACGGCGCACTGCAGGATGTTGTGGGCAGAGCCCCCGAAGCGGCTGATGGGGCCCATGGGGGTGACCAGGGGCTCCAGCTGGTAGCTGCTGCTGGTGCTGTGCGTGGGCAGGCTGGACATGGAGTTGCGGCCGGAGTCGGACAGGCCCCCCGAGCAGGGCAGCGGCCGCAGCTCCTGCTCCTTGCCCTTCTCCGGGGGGTGCAGCTGCTGGCCCAGGGGCCCCCCGCTCTCGGGCTTCGAGTGCAGGATGGCCCCGGAGCGCGGCAGCACCGGCTTGAAGGCCGTGGGACGAGGCAGCGGCTTCTCCCCGCCCTGCCGGGGAGAGCAGAGCCCGTCAGCACCGGGCCAGCCCCACGCGTGTCCTCCCGCCCCTTCTGCCCCCCGTGGGACAGCCCCGAGGGCTCGGGGGGGATGCTCGGGGTGGGGAGCAATTAAGGGATGCGAATCCCTCGGGCCGTGCTGCCGGTCCGAGCTCCCAGAAGCTGAGGGGGCACAGTGCCCCCGGCTGCCCCTGCTCGCCCTGAGCTTCCACGGACCGCGCCCAGCACAACCATGTCCTTCGCAACCATGCCCTTCCCCATTCCCCGCCACCCCTGCGCCTCTGATCAGACAAGCCTGGTGCCCTCCTTCCTGCCCCGACGGGCTTGGTGGAGAGCCGAGGAGCCCTCCCTGTCCAGAGCTAGATAAACCCCTGACCCTTCCTGTTCGCTGTATTTCCCCCTCTCTTCCCCCCGGACCTCATGGAATAAAGAAACAAGACACCCGCATCAGGGTGAGAGCCCCTTTTGAGTCTCTGCCCGTCTCCTGATGTTCCTCCCCTCAAAGCCTCGTATCTCTGGGCTAGCCTGATCATTTAGGGGCTGGGAGGGATAGCAGCATCCCCCGCGGTGGCACCTGCGGACGCTCTGGGGACAGAAGGGCTCCGCTGGGACATCCCCCGCTCCCAGGGCCACTTTTCCCCACTCACCACCTCCAGCTGGCCGGGGAAAGGCATCAGCTTCTGCGGCGTGGGCGCGCCGAAGTCCAGCGCGCTGGTCCCGGCGGGCGCGCCCCGCTCGCCGCCGCCCAGGGCGGTGTAGTCCGGCCGCTGCGAGCCGTGCGACTTCTGGCTGACCTTGATGTAGAAGAAATCCTCATTCTTGCTGCTCTTGGAGCCGGACTTGTGGCCGGAGTCCTGCGAGAAGCCGAAGCGGAGCAGCCCGTCCGAGTAGCGGTTGAGCTTTTTCAGGTGCGAGGACTTGCGGAGCTTGTACTGGGAGGCGCGGCAGTGCTTGCTGTGGAAGCCGTGGCCGGAGATGAGGCTGCTGACGCTGCCCATGCTGCTCCCGGCGCCCACCGATCATAGCAGAGCCCGCGGGGCGGCCGGGAGCGCCGAGCCTGGGGACACGGGGACGGCGTCAGCCGGGAGAAGCCACCGGGGCACGGTGGCAGAGCCGCCCGGTTTGGGGGCGTGAGGTGGGAACCGAGGGCAGCGACCGGGGGGACCTCGGCCCCGCGCCCAGCTCTGTGTGGCAGGGACGGGAGCCACGGAGCGGAGCCGGGGGCACGTCCCATCCCCACATTGCCACGGGACCAGCTGGGGCAGGCAAAGTTCTCTCCCTCTCAGGAATTTCATAGAGGAGCACAGAGAAATGAAA